GTAGGAGGCTTGCAGCAGGACACACAGCTAGTGAGAGTCAGACTACCTCTAAACTCAGGTCTGACTGCAAAATTACACTGGCCCTCATCTAAGAATGAATCCTGGTCTCTCTGGAAATGTCCAACACAAAAGTAATGTGACTTATTGTGAAGGAGTGCATCTGACAGTGCCTTGAAGACTGAGACGGGGTCATTATGCCTCATGCAGCCTAGCTGTTCCTAGCACCGCTGCTGTCCGCAGAGAGCAACATATTGAACCTTCTGGTCCGAGCCTTTCTATTTGTGACACACTTAAGAGAGCCCAGTGCTATTGTACAAAGACAAATATTATTGTGTAGAAAGAGTGCTGATGGTATGCTTCATGCTACCCAGTATTTGGGTATAACTGCTGTGTCTGGCTGCCGCCCTGCCGTTTTCAGAGCTGATGTCACCCCACTGTTTATTTATGTCCTTTCCATGGGAGGGGATACATTTCTGCCTAAGACTGAAGTCTGGTTCTACAAGTGCAAGAAGGCGACTGAAACAGCCTGACGGACAGCTGCAAGGCCACCCACGCACACGCAGGGACACGGCTCTCAGCTGTCTCTACTCTTGAGCCCCAGTTTGTCCTGACCCCATACAAATCTGGTATTCCCACTTTGATGTTTATGAACTGATTGTACTTAGGATAATGATTCAGGGGTTAGAGAAACTATTATTTACACAAAGTGTGGTTAACACCTCATCATTTTAAACTGGCTGCGCTAACAGCACCCACTGTGTTGTTTTCTGTTTTCCCAAGTCTGCAACATGCTTTTGCTCTGGCACTGGGTCCAATGTGCACTGGGATAGAATGGATCTTTTAGACAACTAAGATGCTTCCACAGGACTCTACTAGATGAGGAGGCACCCAGACAGAACCCCACAACAGGGGACTCACTATTAAAATGGTACAGTGCTCAGGAGTTCCTCTGTCGGTCACCGTCAGCCTAGTTTACAGAGCATGGCAGCATATTAATTCTAAAAACTCAGGCTAAAAAGAAACTATTATTAATAGGGACCTAACAGAGACAACAGTTATCCCATGATATAGTTTAATTACACAGTAATTTATATCTCTTTCAAAATGTTCAGTTAGGAACATTACAATAGTACTTGAATACACAAAATAAATTATATTCATGAAAGTTTATGAAAAATGCTTAAGACAGACTTGTAATTCTGAAATTCAGTGGTGTTTTAACCACACTAAATATACAATGTAATTTTCTTCTCTTCAGAGTCGGGATAGACACAGTAGCCACATGAAGCTACAGGGAGACCCTGTCTCAAAAAAGAAAATTTTTGAAGTAAAATTCAGTAAAATTAAAGATTTCATTCCTCTGCATCTTTACTCAATGGTGAAATGTTCAACAGCCTTCTGTGCTGGTGGCTACCACTGTGGAAGGAGCAGACGTGAACTGTGTCTGTCACTAGTGTCTATCAGGAGAGCACTGGAAAAGTCTTAAGAATTGTGTTCACTCTTCCAATATGTTCGCTTATCTCAGTTGAAAACAAAGAGCATTTACGTGTGCATGCCGGCTACATGGGAATTAGGGTTAGGAAGGGAAGTGAGGGCACCTCATATTAAAATCCGCTCCGCACCTAGACGAAAAAGCCATCAGTGGTAACTCTAAATTATGCTCAGTAGACTAGATAACAAATACTGAAGTTCTCTAAGCTAGAATATCCATATTGGCTTAAAGGATCAAACGTTATTTAAGGGTTAGAATGCATTTTCCATCAGCGGAATTCTGATTAGCTCCATCAGAACTCCGCACTGTGCACAAGCAGCAGTCATGGTTCTAAATGCCTCCCCCTGCAAGCATTCCCCTCTTTGTTCATCTGCTCACAGGCCCCTGGAAGGATGTGTTTAACTGAGCTTTGGAAAAGCTCACCCTGAGAAGAACCACCCAAGCCCAGGCTTGGTTCATCTGCCATGCTGGCCAAAATCCAGGCTCCTGTTTGCTTGGGAAGGAGTGAGAGGCTTTCCATAGGCACAGAGTAGAACTCTGCTGCTTCCCAGACCTGTTCTTTCTGCCAGCTTACTTCCAACAGTCTCTGTGCTCATGATATGCACAGGGCTTAAAGTCTCCTCCCCCAGCACTGACACAGAGAAGGGGAGACAAGTGTCAGTCTTCCAGGTCCCAACTGCTAGATGTAGGGAAAGAGCAAGTAGAATCTGACTTCTCTCAACTGGAGAATCTTCCCAATCCCCAAACCAAACCAACATGCACAGCACTGAGAGATTATATTCACAGCCCTGCGCAAGCTTTGTTATTCCCGGGCCCTTATTAATATAAAACCTAGTTTCCATTATAATAGCTGTATCTACAGGGTTGAAGGTGCACATATGAGTGTGGGTGCTTGGGGAGGCAAAGTCAGCCTCAGGTTTGTTCCTCAGGAGCTGCCCACCTTGTTTTCAAGCACCGACTCTCGCAGGGGCTTGAAGCTCACAGATGAGGCCAGGCTGGCTGGCCAGCTCCAGGGATTCTCCTGTCCCAACCTCCCCAGCTTTGGGATTACAAGGGTGAGCCACAACACCTGGCTTTTTATGAGAGTTCTGGGGATCAACTCAGATTGCTGTGCAAACATTTTCCAACTGAGCCATCTCCCCAGCCCATAAAATGTTTCTTTTAACAAATATTTTTAAAAGTCCTAGTAGAAAATAGAATTATTCAAGTTATCGCTATTTAATTGCCCCACTACTCAAATCATAATGAAAACTTACTGCAGATATTTAACCTTGATAAGGAAAAGGAGAGTCAACTTCCTGATCTTTATGGGCATTTTTAAATGAACCCTTATTTTACTATAAACAAAACATATATAGGGGTAGTTCCTAGAATGGATAATGAATCAATGCTATCTAAATGTTGGAACTTTCAAATTTCATTAAGATACATAAGGCAATAAAAAAGAAGCTCCATTTTCTTTTCATCTAAGATAAAACTATATCATCGTTCCTGGAAAACTACATACAAAACACACTTCTTTAAGAAATCAAATGCTGCCTGGTGGGGTGGCATGCACATGGAGTCCCAGGTACTGAGGAATCTGAGATAAGAGATCTTTGAGTCCAGGAGTTTGAGGCCAACCTGGGCAACAGAGCAATATTCTAGCTCTTCAAATTTATTTAAAAGCAAAATGAAATTACAGATGTTAACTATATCTATACTGACTTTTAAACGAGTTGTTTTAAAAGGGAAATTCATGTGGCACAAAGACATACACCAAGCACATTCATGGTATGTCAGTCATGAAAAGATTCTGAAAAAATAAAATGTCCTTCCCATGTCACCTATGACTCTTTCAACACATACATCAATAAAAGCATATGATAAAACTAACAAAAATACACAAATCGGAAGAAAAAGTGGCCTGAAGTTTGCAAGGCCAGATTGCTTATTTGTTTGAGCTCCTTCAGCATTCCATGAGGTGTCTCCTCAGACTCCCCCTCTCTGGCAGACTAATACGTGTTTTCAGTGTCTCAAAAAGACAAAAGAAAAGGAAAAAAAAAAAAAAGTGTGTGTTCATCCTTAGTTCTCCCTATACTACAAGGCTGGATTTTGCTTATTTTACCATCAAGGCAGACACAGAGCCAGACAATGTATCTGCATGACAAACTCATCACAGTCTTCTCTCACTCATACTTTTTTGTGGCAACTCAGTTATTCTGGAATAAAATCCCTTCTGAGAAGAAACTGAATTATTTTCTTCCCTACTTTCAAGTTTGAAAGCCTGGTTCAACTTTCCTAAATTATGAGCCCTACAAAATGTAAACATGAGAGATTTCACCCATTTTAATCTTCCAAATGTGTTCTTAAGATAAAAAAAAATTGAGGATGGCCCAGAAACAGTTTAATAAAAGACAGTAACTATTCTGCAGAGTTGAAAGTTTGTGAGTAGAACAATTTTTTTCCCAAAATTACCCATGTGTTCGATTATGTTGAAATAGTCATCTGTATTAAGTTAGATCAGGTCCACTCAGCATTTGTGTATTACTACTGAGGAATATTTGTTGGAGTCTATTTGGATTAAAGTAACAAAGTATCAACTACATAATCTGATATAGGACACTACAGTTTAAAAGCACACCTTCAGTTTTTCCACTTCTCAACACAGTGGGGGTAAATTTTCTTTCTGATAACAAATAACAGGCCAGGACTAACTTAACATTAGGGATATAATACCTGTAACACTCAAATGGGTCTGAAAATAGAAGCATCTCTGCTCCAGCACACTGTTGGGGGCAGGGTTAGCCTTCAATGTGTAAGGCAGGTTATTTTAGATGGCAAAAGAGATGGGTCCTTCTCAGAAGGAACAAATCGCATCGATTACATAATCCCCATACGCACTTCCTAACTTGAGAAAGTTTCACAGAAATTTTGGACTGGGATTAGTCTTATTTTCTTTTTGCTTAATGACTAAACATTAAAGCCATCTAATTTCACAACCTTTAAGGCAACAGTACAGCATGCAGTTGAATCAGATGCAATACTGATGTGCATACTCATCCTCTGACATTATCACTTCGCTGGTTGGTAATCCATCTAAAATTTAAATTAATCCAATTACCAAAGGAGGGAAAAAAGAGACCAAAATGTGTTAAAAGGAAATCTGAAGAAGTGCAAATTAAACATGATTATTTCTACCTCAGTAACTTCATCATCCAAAACTAAACAATGAAAAGTCGGGTGTGGTGGTCCTGGAGGCAGGAGGATCTCTGTGAGATCGAAGCTAGCCTCATCTACCTAACAAGTTCCAGGCCAGCTGAGGCTAAGGGTATATAAAAGGAATTAATATGAAAGATCTGGAAATTTTTAAATCATATTTGCCAGTGTATCTAAAATTAAAATCCAAAGTAATAGAACTTTAAATTTTACTCTGTAGGGTTTTTTCCTCAGAATCTTACCAAAACAGATGACACCAATTATTCCCCCAAGGTGCAGAAATACGGATCTGAGGTGCAAGGCAGGGAACTCTTACTTCAAAAAGTTAGCTTTAATTGTAAACTCGAAACAGTGGTGACACTATTAAAACATGATCAGTGTGTGTCCACATGTAAGGACCCTAGCAAAAAGCATGTCGTGCTGCTCGATTAAAAAAAAAAAAAATTCTTTATACAAATATTCTGGAAAAATGCTTTAAGTTATATAAAGATTGAAACTCTAATTTTAATAAAATTTACACATAACAGAGGAACGTTGGAGCAAAATGGCCATAGCCGCATCCCACGGCTCCAGGCCTCAGTCACTTGAGGGTCCTGCTCTGCTGTCGTCTGGCCCATCACTGTCCTTGTCCCAGTCCTTCATGGAGGCGCCCATCATGAAGTCATCCCGCAGAATCGACCAGCCCGGGCCCTCTTCTGATTTCACTGCAGTCTGAGAAAAGTTACAGATTCAAAGTATTCAGAAACCAATTTAACCATAAAAAACACCTTACAATGCAAAACAAACTTTTCAATGCTCAGTTTGGTAAGAGATGAAAGCAAGGTGGCTCATGACCATCATATACAAGGTGGCTCGTGACCGTCATATACAAGGTGGCTCATGACCGTCATATACAAGGTGGCTCATGACCATCATATACAAGGTGGCTCATGACTGCATATACAAGGTGGCTCATGACTGCATATACAAAGTAGCTCATGACCATGCATATACAAATGTACAGTGAAGCAAAATATTTTTACTTATTTTTGTTATTTTATTTGTATGATGGTTTTATCTACATGCATGTAATGGCCGTGGAGGTCAGGAGAAGGCACAGGATCCCCTGGAACTGGAGCTCCAAATGGTTATTAGCCGCTATGTGGGTGCTGGGACCTGAACTCCCAGTCCTCTGCAAGAGCAGCCTGTATGATTAACCCTGAGTCATCTCTCCAGTCCCTGAAGCAAACTATTTTAGCAGCTCCATAAATGAAACATGAAAGCAAAATAAAAAATTCTGGAGTTGGAGAAAATAAAGTAAAATCTAGATTTGACATCAATTTTAAATATCTGGACACCTAAAATGACTTACATATCAGTTAACCTTCAGTGATGATGTATTTGAAACTTCTTTGCAAATTATTTTAACACAAACAGAAACCTAACAAAGGCTATTTTAGCCCAAAGTAAATGAAAAGAGGGGAAGGGAAACGCACTCTGTGCTGTGCTTGGTTGTCAAAGATGCTATCTCACTTCGACTTTACAAATGTGAACCAAATGTTTCCCAATTAGGTTATGATCTCACTACTAACCAATCATGTAATCAGAGACTAATCACACGCTGAAATTATAAATAACTGAAGCAGGCAATGGACCTAAGCAGCTGATTCATTCCATTCAGTCATAAGACTGAGAGAATAATTCATAAAGCCTGTACAGGCTTTCCTTTCATGGTACAACAGCACCTCCTTGTGGGGTTAAATAATACAATACAAGCAGCACTAAGGACTCTTCCCTCACTCCACACATTTACACTGTCCACCACAGTTCTCAGTGTCAGGAACACTATGGTGAACAAAGCCCTGTTTTCAGAGGTAACCAGTCTCTGGATACCTATTCCATTTGGGGATCATACATCATGTAAAAAGCATTTTTTAAGAAAAGAGGGTATCAACAACACTTGCTAGCTTATACAAGATTATTACCTAAATCTGCTAAAACTTTTATTTTTTATGGACACTATTACAAGTAGGGGAAAATGTTCTACTAGCTTGTTCCTATATTTTGGGATCAAATAAGTAAATAAATCAATAAACCAATAAATCAGATCTTGTACCTAAATACATTCCGAAGATGAGATAGCATATAAGTTTGAGTAGATTTCCAAAGTGACTTAGTATTTCAAATATCAGGGTACTGTACAGTAATTTAACCAACATAAAAACTCAGAAAACACTCATGCTGTTTTAAACCAACAACAAAAAACAGCCTTTCACACCCGAGAAGAGTAAGGCAGGAGGTAGAACAGTCCTCAGGAAGAGTGTCAGCTCTCTGCACTGCCTCCTACTGCATTAGAAAGCCTTCCCTTCTAAACCTGAAATTCTCCTTTTATTCCGTCAAGCTTACTGGATAACGGTCTTCTCTGACTCAACCCAAGCTGTTCTTGCCAGTTTCCTTAGGTAAGAGAGGAGCTGCTCCTGATTTACAGGGGTTACCTAGAGTCAGCACTTACTCTGTCAAATTAACAATTTAAAACTTTCAATCAAAAAAAAATTTTTTTGAGCTAGGGTCTCACACTGTAGCCCAGGTCTGTCGGTAACTTGCCACAGCCCACACTGGCCTCTAAGTCATGGAAATCCTTCTGCCTCAGCCTCCTGAGTGCTGGAATTATAAGCATGAGCCATCCTACCTGGCTTCAATTCAGTTTTAAAGTGGACAGCATATACAAATTACTGCCTAACAAGAAGCTGTCCTGACTGATACCTGGGAAAACACATGCAATCTCAATGTTAAGTCTTGTTTATAGAAGTCCTTGTAACATGCTAATCAATATGCCACCAAGAGGTTGGAGGGATGGCTCAGTGTTAAAGAGCACTGGCTGCTCTTGCAAAGGACCTGGGTTCAGTTTCCAGCACCAACAACACGGCAGCTAACAACCAGCTGTAACTCCAGTTCCAGGAGATCTGATCCCCTCATTTGACCTCCCCAGGCATTGCATGACACGGGTGTTCTTAGATGCAGAAAATACTAGCACACATTAGAAAAAATAAAAAGCCAAGGAGGGGGCAATTCCAATATGCCTGACTTCAGTGTGCTGAGATGAGCCCTTTCTAACTTAGCGTTTTAAAGTCCGGAGAGCACCAGGAAGGCTGAGGCCAACCGAACCAACGCGGAAGGGAGCACAGCCAAAACGTGAAACGGGTATCTCACAGTCAGAAATAAACAGCACAGACCAATGCAAAGGGTCAATCAGAGTAGTGAAGGCAACACACTAGATTATCCAAAAAGATGGCTACCATAAGGAGCAGTGACAGCAACAGCAGACTGCTCAGACCTCCTCTCCGCCATCATCCAACTGGAGAAACAGCTCAGAAAGCTTTACAGGATACAGGTGATATTCCTCTTCTGATTTTAAGGCAACCACCATAGTCTCTATCAGTGTGTCTTAAAGTGTGAGTGAGCATTAGCTGATGGCTTTAGCATCCAGATCACTTGAAAACCTGGTATAAATGTAAAATTTGGGGTCCCATTCTGAGTCTACTGAATCAGAAACTCTGAGGTGGAGCCAACAGCCTGTTTGAGCAAGCTAGTAAGCAATTCCAAGGTTTGCTGAAGCCTGAGAACCACCAGGCTTTAAAAGGGAAAATATTTCTTTTTTTCTTTTTTTTTTCCTTTTTGGTCTTTTGGAGACAAGGTCTCCCTCTAGCCCCAGGCTGGCCTTGAACTCAGAGATCCACCTGCCTCTGCCTCCCAAGTGCTAGGATTAAAGGTATGTGCCACCACATCCTGGCAAAAAAAGAGAAAATATTTCTAAGTAACAGTTTCATTCAACTGTTCAAAATCAAGTACATTTTACAGCCCAGAGGGAAATGTTTCAGAAAATCCAATGCTGTATTTTGGAAATCCAGCATTAGACCTGGTTCTATGTGTCTTAAAGATGGCCCAAAGTTTTATACCAGAAGCAACAACTGGGGGGAAAAAGACATTAAATAATTTAGTACTAACAAGTGTGGGCTAGCATACTTTAAAAAGTAGAACTCCTATATAATCTATCAACATGGAAACTAAAGAAAGACAATTCAGGGCTAGTGTGATGGCTCAGCAGGTGGAATTGTATGCAGGGCTGACCACTTTAGTAGATTCCTGGATTCCCCCAAGGCGGCACGAGAACCACTCCTGGGAGTTGTCCTCTGACCTCCACAGGTACAATACCAGCCCACAAGCATCTACACACACACACACACACACACACACACACACACACAAACACATGCACACAAGCATGCTAAATAATAAATCCCGGCTCTTTTCTGACCCTAGGCCTCCCAAGTGCTGGCAGGCAGATCTTTTTCCTCTAGGCATAAGAACAGAGGTATACGTAGCCTATGGAAAATTTGAGCAGTTACAAAAAACTACAAAATTAAAAAACAAAAACAAGGGCTGGAGAGATGGCTCTGTAGTTAAGAGCACTGGCTGTTCTTACACCCACATGCACTGACATGGGGGCTAACAATCATCTGTATAACTCCAGTTCCAGGGGACCCGACATCCTCCTCTGTCCTCTGCAGGCACTATACAACACAGGGTGTATTTACACACATGCAGGCATAATACTCATACACATAAAAAATAGATAAATAATAATAATAAACAAAACCCTGCCCATAGAACCTGCAGGGAAGACTGGGGAGGGGGGGGAGTCCACATGCTCACAGCTCCAGCTGGAATTCTGGGACTATGTTCCAAGCAGGAACAAGCAGCAAAGGACAAAAGCTAGAGAATACAAACAAACAAAAGTAACTTGCCAGAAAAGGAAACTGGCGGCTCAAGAGAAGAAGTTTTAGGAGGAGGGACATGTCAATACCCTCAAAGAGCTAGGAGAATATTCTGGGTAAGGAAGCGCAGTGGCTCTCAGAAACACTGAGTGACCAACAGCTTGAAACTGGAACCCAAGGCAGAGGGAGAAAGGAACAGACACAGGGTAGAAAGATAAAATAAGGAAAGCACACCACGCACACGCACAAGGGGGGGGGGGGGGGAGGGAGAGAGAGAGAGAGAGAGAGCGAGAGAGAGAGAGAGAGAGAGCGAGAGAGAGAGAGAGAGAGAGCGAGAGAGAGAGAGAGAGAGAGAAAGAAAGGAAAATAGAAGAAAAAGTAACGTGGAAGATCTGCCAAGGAGGTTCAATAAACGCGTAACAGCTCTTCGGTCAGCGTCCCTATTCCCTACTGGCAATGTGGATAACCCCTTCAGAGGATGGCGTGATAAGAATAGGAGGTAGGAGTTGGCTAGGCAGTTAGGCTAAAAAGACCCCAAAGAAAAGTTGCCAGTTTCTTGGCTAAAACTCACAATGTCCTTGGGCCTGTTAGCAACCTACTCCATTCCAAAGGCCAAAATTGTCAAAAATATTTGGGAGCTTATCTAATCCTTAAAAGATTTTAAGGTTACCTCTTCAGAGGGGGCAAATGCTAGAGTAGCAAAAGCCCCATAAAAAAAATAAATCAAAGAAGAAAGAGTACATGAAGTTATCAGAAAAAAAGTGGTGGGGAGGTATGGGAGGAGCTGGAGGGGAGGGAGTGGGCATGGATTTGATCAAAACACCTTATATGCATGTATGAAATTCTCAATAATTTATTTTAAAAAACAAAAAAAAAAGAATTGATATTAAGATGAACAAGCACAAAAACAAAACAAAACAACACATAACTGTAAAGAGAAAAAACAGAGCAGAGGAA